GGGGATCACTGTGTGTGTTTTGTCTGATGCCCTGCACAAAGAGATGCAGAACAATCATTAAAAAAATACATAAAAATATACAGTTTCATCTGAGAAGGCAAACAAATCTACGCAGGATATAAATCAAAACAAGGATCTGCAGAAGAGCAGAGCAAGTGCTTACAAAGCCAAAACATACTGTTCTTGTGAAGAAGCTGCTCTGACCACTGTGCTTTATCCAAATGTACACTTATGGAGCTCCAGGCCAGAACTTTTTTGGAACATAAGAAGCATTTGGATCCCAGCAAAACTCCCTGTGATCTGCCTGCCTAATTCTCACAGAGCTGAACCTTGCCAACTGTCCTGGTTTGAGCCAGGATGAAGCCAATTTTCCTTTTACTGGTTTTTTTTTTTTTCCTTCAGTAAGCTTTCTTTTAACTAGTAGCAGAGTGTTCCAAGTAAGAATAGTAACAGTGGGATGTTTTTCTACCTGCTGGGAGATTCAGCTTGGAAGAAAATGGAGAGGTAAAATTGAACCTGCTACTGCTATTGCCAACATGGACTGTTCCTTTCACTTCAGGATTTGTACTGTAACTGTTCACAGACAGTGCCCCCATAGAGATCAGTATCATAACCCCTAAGATCACTAGGCTGGTAATTATAGGGTTGATTATGGCTACAGCTCTGTCAATAAACCATGAAGCCATCACAAGAGCAGCTGCACAGAGCAGAATGCTCTTGGCTGCACACCAGGTGCACAATTGCATCTCGGGCAAAAGGTCCAGTAAAAGGAAAATGGGCTTCATCCTGGCTCAACCCAGGACACCAACCCTTGTGCCCAAGCTTAACTTCAGTTTCTGCAGAATTATTATTTGCTGTGTGTTTCTTTGAAGGTTTATTTTATGTGGTTGACAGTTGCCTTCAACTGTGAGTATGCTAATAAATACACATATGAGAGGATCTCCTACTCTTCCTGCCCTCTGCCCCAAGAAACAATCTGAAGGCAAATGTTCTCCATCTCTGCAAGCAAGAAAACTTGCTTGGGATACACTTTCTTTGCATCAAGTTTGACAGCCTCAGCCCATCCTGAAGCACATCTGCTTTGCTTTAGTGTGTGAAAACACAGGCACTAGAGAAATAAAAGCTTGAGAAAAAAAACAGCACAAAAGAATTATTAAATGACAATTAATCTGAATTGAAATACAAGTGATGTAAACCTGTCAACTAATGTAAGGTTGTGTACGATCCATTCCTATTTTTCCCTTCTCAAATCCCAGCTCCTGGCTCCTCATCCCCCTCTGAAGCAGAGGTGTGAAATGCACAGCTGTCAACACAACTGGGTTCAGCCCTTTCCCTCCAGCCACTCTCCCCCCAGAAAAAGCAAACAGAGCAGTTTTATTCTGGACTGGACAGCCCGTCAGCACACACATTTGAAGACTATTCAATGCTTGCCTTGTTTAAGCACTGCCCCATCCAGTACCTGGTTGACTAACCCAAAGCTACTGTCCTCTAACACAGCCACTTGTCCAGAAGAGGAGCTGAGGCTCTCCTTCTCCAGCCTCAGCTCCAAAATGGCCCCTCTCCCTGGGCCCTCCTTCTCCAGCAATTCCAGTGCATAACCTACCTCACAAACACTACCTATACCAGGAAAATACCATGTTCAGAACACTGTTTAAGTATTTTTAAGCATACAAAATGCTTTTCTAAGCCAGGGATAATTCATAAGGACGTCCATACAGTTCAAGAGAGTCTAGGAAACCCATACTCCAACACCAGTTGAACAACCTGGTCTTCCACAGTCCTGATAAAGATGTTTAATATGTATAAGCTCCCCCTCTCACCCCTCAAAAACTCACACACACAACTCCTTTAACAGATTGTAACAGGTGATTTTAAATTTAAACTATTTGATGGAAAACTTTCCTGAATCCTTTCTCTTGAAGGATGCCAGAGCAAAACTTACTAATCCAAAGACCCAACTTCCCACTAGGACTATATGTTGTTACTAGCCTTTATTCAAGCCCCTTGACAACAGAGCATGCCTCCAAATTTTATTCATACTTGCACAGGGGCTTGAGAAGACCACTGCAGTCTCTTTATACCAGAGATCTACAGCAGAACTTCCCTAAGGAAGCTGTTTTGTTCCAATGCATGCAGGAATCCAGGAAAAACAGCTTCAGTCAGTAACCTCAATACAAGAATTTATTGCAACTAAATAACTAGTATTGATTTGAAGTCACTGTTATGTCAAAGTCCCTTTTAGCACTAGCTATGCATATGTAGTGGGGGATGGAAAAGAGCAGGCTCACCATCAGCATAAAGACCCCTCTTGCATTTTTCTGAGTATGCAAATCCCACACCATTCAAGGCCTCCTCTGTGACAGCTCAGTTATTTTATGCTGTGGTAGAAGCAGGTTGTGCTGATGAGAAGAGAAGCACCCAACCTACACACCACAAGTAGTGGCCCTTGTAGCAAGAGCAAGTATCAAGAACACTCCCATGTTGTGGTTTAACCAAGTCATGGGTTGTGCTTCCAGTCCAGTCCCTGGCTTGTTCCTAATGCTAAGACTGTGAATAAAGCTTGTACTGTAGTAGTAATAATAATAATAATAGCAATAACAGTAATAATAACAATAATACCACAACCATAACTGTAATATAATAATAATAGAACCCTTGTGCCCAAGCTTAACTTCAGTTTCTGCAGAATTATTATTTGCTGTGTGTTTCTTTGAAGGTTTATTTTATGTGGTTGACAGTTGCCTTCAACTGTGAGTATGCTAATAAATACACATATGAGAGGATCTCCTACTCTTCCTGCCCTCTGCCCCAAGAAACAATTTGAAGGCAAATGTTCTCCATCTCTGCAAGCAAGAAAACTTGCTTGGGATACACTTTCTTTGCATCAAGTTTGACAGCCTCAGCCCATCCTGAAGCACATCTGCTTTGCTTTAGTGTGTGAAAACACAGGCACTAGAGAAATAAAAGCTTGAGAAAAAAAACAGCACAAAAGAATTATTAAATGACAATTAATCTGAATTGAAATACAAGTGATGTAAACCTGTCAACTAATGTAAGGTTGTGTACGATCCATTCCTATTTTTCCCTTCTCAAATCCCAGCTCCTGGCTCCTCATCCCCCTCTGAAGCAGAGGTGTGAAATGCACAGCTGTCAACACAACTGGGTTCAGCCCTTTCCCTCCAGCCACTCTCCCCCCAGAAAAAGCAAACAGAGCAGTTTTATTCTGGACTGGACAGCCCGTCAGCACACACATTTGAAGACTATTCAATGCTTGCCTTGTTTAAGCACTGCCCCATCCAGTACCTGGTTGACTAACCCAAAGCTACTGTCCTCTAACACAGCCACTTGTCCAGAAGAGGAGCTGAGGCTCTCCTTCTCCAGCCTCAGCTCCAAAATGGCCCCTCTCCCTGGGCCCTCCTTCTCCAGCAATTCCAGTGCATAACCTACCTCACAAACACTACCTATACCAGGAAAATACCATGTTCAGAACACTGTTTAAGTATTTTTAAGCATACAAAATGCTTTTCTAAGCCAGGGATAATTCATAAGGACGTCCATACAGTTCAAGAGAGTCTAGGAAACCCATACTCCAACACCAGTTGAACAACCTGGTCTTCCACAGTCCTGATAAAGATGTTTAATATGTATAAGCTCCCCCTCTCACCCCTCAAAAACTCACACACACAACTCCTTTAACAGATTGTAACAGGTGATTTTAAATTTAAACTATTTGATGGAAAACTTTCCTGAATCCTTTCTCTTGAAGGATGCCAGAGCAAAACTTACTAATCCAAAGACCCAACTTCCCACTAGGACTATATGTTGTTACTAGCCTTTATTCAAGCCCCTTGACAACAGAGCATGCCTCCAAATTTTATTCATACTTGCACAGGGGCTTGAGAAGACCACTGCAGTCTCTTTATACCAGAGATCTACAGCAGAACTTCCCTAAGGAAGCTGTTTTGTTCCAATGCATGCAGGAATCCAGGAAAAACAGCTTCAGTCAGTAACCTCAATACAAGAATTTATTGCAACTAAATAACTAGTATTGATTTGAAGTCACTGTTATGTCAAAGTCCCTTTTAGCACTAGCTATGCATATGTAGTGGGGGATGGAAAAGAGCAGGCTCACCATCAGCATAAAGACCCCTCTTGCATTTTTCTGAGTATGCAAATCCCACACCATTCAAGGCCTCCTCTGTGACAGCTCAGTTATTTTATGCTGTGGTAGAAGCAGGTTGTGCTGATGAGAAGAGAAGCACCCAACCTACACACCACAAGTAGTGGCCCTTGTAGCAAGAGCAAGTATCAAGAACACTCCCATGTTGTGGTTTAACCAAGTCATGGGTTGTGCTTCCAGTCCAGTCCCTGGCTTGTTCCTAATGCTAAGACTGTGAATAAAGCTTGTACTGTAGTAGTAATAATAATAATAATAGCAATAACAGTAATAATAACAATAATACCACAACCATAACTGTAATATAATAATAATAGAATGATGATTACGATGATGATGATGAAATAAATAAATAATTAAGATATAATAGTACTTCTTCTGCCTCAGTTTTAATGATCCAAATCTTCAGTTATTAGAGAAAAGGGAAACCAGTGTTTTTATCTGAGCAGAAGCACTAGCCCAAGTCATTCTGGAAAAGCAAGGTCTAAGTATTTCCTTGGCAGCAAAGGCAACAGGACACCAAAGATTGCATAATATTTTAAGTGTAAAAAAAGGTAGAAATTTTTATTTGAGAAGTTAACAAGTAAGCATTCCATTAATCCATTCAAACACTTTATTACAAGTCAGTGCAGTTGAATTACAGCTACCCTACATCAAAGTAAATTCTGAGGTGAACAAGCTGACCTACTGATGAGCAGGCAGTTTAGAACATACACCTGTATGTAAGCTCTATCTGTTTTATTTTTTAAAGTTCTTTTGATAAATTAAAAACTTACTGACTGTCAGGCAACTTCAAAAACTTCTAACACAGTAAACTTCAGAACTATTGTTCCCACATGATATCATCTTTTTTCAGTGCTGACTGAAGTTTCTGCACATTTTTTAGCAGCTGAAGAGAGCTTCTGCTTCTCTGCCCAGAACAAGATTTAGACATACTTTCCCTTACAGTAACTGCAATCTCCTTTGCTTCCTTTGGGTCACCATGATTTGGTTTGACATGAGCTGCCCCTTGCTTCAATTTCTGAGTTTTTCTCTTGACTTTCTGTACCTAGGAAGAATGATAACTAATTAGAATGTTACATACTCAGAGGATGTGCAACTGTAGAGCTTACTGGACTTCTACCAAACTTCAAACTAGTGATGTCTAAGGGAACTTCTGCAAAAAGTTAAAACCTACTAAACTTGTAAACAGTTGTCTCCCTGTAACTGAAAGCACTACAGAAAACTGACCTCACCCATAGAGAAAGCATTACAGAAAAGTGACCTCACCCACACTCAATGGGCTGTTGAACCCCATCATTCCCTAAGGTAAAAACACTTACTTGAGAAAGACAGAACATCATCTGTTACCAATTTATATTTACAACAGTATTTTTCCATTTCAGATTGTACTACTTGAACAAAGCAAACAAAAAAAGCCCCAACAAGCCTATAAAATGTATAATGTTTATTATCCACTCCTGTATCTAAGCAGTTTATTTTGAAGCCTCCTAACAGAATTGGAAAACAGAATAAATAGGGTTGATTACTAAAGAATGTTTTAGTAAATGTCAAATAATAAGGCTTTACTTACATTTGGCATGTAAAGGTCACTCCCAAAGATAAAATTAGGCTGGAAGCTTTCCACATGCCAATTTAGACTTTAAGTTCATTTCCAAAAATAATTAACTTTAATTGCATTCTAGAACATGTTATTAACTGTGAGGCACAGAGTTTACTACAGCATTTTTAGTGTGACAGGTTCTAAAAGCAGGAATATGCATCAGAAGTATGAAGTCTCATCTCTACAAATTACCAGTAGAAATATCTGTGTGCAGAAGCACCAGAAAGAAATGATAGAGGCCAAGGGTTACAGGAGTGGCCTGTGTTGATAACCAGGGCGTGATGGACAGGAATCAAACAGACAAACAAGAGGAATATGTTATTTACATCATGACCCTAAGGCGTGTGCTCTGATAAGGCTGCACCACAGCACAGATGACTTGCCAGCAGATCTGCATCCTGATAATAGGCAAGGATGACAACAAGGTTGCACCATGTTGTATGTGCTGTTCCTCTTCTCATCATCCCAAAATGAAGGCAGACTCAAGCCATAAAGATATGCAAAAGGAGGAAACAAAGGTGTAGTTGGTGTCCATTGTCTATGGTTCCTGGAGGATGAAGTCAGCAAGATGCTGAGGCAGGGAGTAACACTGTAATTGTTGCCTCCTCAAGAATATATGAGATTAATCCAAAAAAACATTGACACTGCTAAGGCAGGCAGAGAGGACTCAACAGTCTGTGTCTTTTGTCCATATTGCTGTCATGCAGCTCTGACAATACTGCTTTGATGTAAGCACCTTTGTGCTTGCAATGACATGGAGAGTGAAAGGTTTGAGTGAGCAAAATCTATCAAAGAATGAATGTGAATAAAACTAGTCAGACTTAAATTAACTATCACCTCCCCTTTCATAAGGTCTCATACTGAATTTTGTTTTGTATTCTGTATAAACAAAGCTCTTAGATGAATCCCTTTATCCTGAAACATAAGATGGAAGAACAGAAAGCTATCAGACAGAACTGTGGATTGTATTTTTTATCATATGTTCAAACTAAATTGCTACAAAGGGTTAAGCTGTTCATCTACAGAAGAGTGATTTTATATGGGCATGTGTGAAAAGCTGCTATCCATGGCTCTAAACCAAGTACTGACAGAAAGCACACAGGTTAGAGGTTAAAACAAACTGACAGGCATGTCTGGCTGGGATTTTGGAGAAGCTGTGGTCAACAGACTATTTGGTTAATCCAAAGCTTCAATATTTCAGTCATATAAAAGGCATTTAATCCAGTCTGTTCTGCAATTATAGCTTCTACTTTCTCATTCCTCAGAGCGACAAGATACTAAGGAATGAAATCTCAACAGTTTGTCTTAACACAGTGAGCAGAAGTGCTAGACTGAGCAACCCAGCCCCATCTTGCAGAACTGCCTCAGGGCAGGAAGCCTTCCCACTAGCAGCCATTCCCAGCTGCAAGCACTTTTTCTGGTTCAAAAGAAGGAATTGGAGGTACAGGAACACCAAGCTAGCAGCCTAGTTATGATCACCCACACTGGGACATCCTGGCTTAAGCACTGCAGTGACTTTCTAGCTAATGACAAGAGGAGGCAGAGTTGTGGCAGCCTTTTAGAGCTAGATGATCTTTAAGGTCCCTTCCAACTCAAACTATTACATGATTCTGTGATTCTAAGTTACTAGCTAGAGAGTTTACATTTGATTCTTACAGCAGCCTGATGCTTTTTCAGCGTGGATATTTGTTCTCCTTTGAACTCCATGTGTTGAACAAGGCAATCCAGCTTCTGTTCTAGGTCTTCACAAACTCTGGAGTCTTGAGTCTCCTGTATCTGCTTCACAAGTTCTTGATACCTACTGTTAAAGAAAAGAATGGCATGCTAAGTATTCACTACACAGTCTCTAGGATCTCTTCCAATACTTTCAGAGCATGGCAGGGGTTGCTAGCCATTTTGTCAAGAGAACACCCATGTAGCATTATTTGCCCTCTCACACAATACACATTAATCTGGAACATATTCACACTAGAACTGATAAAGTTTTCCAGCAGGTCTGATTTTCTTATTCCAAATTTGCAGCTGATGTGCATCTTACTCCTTCCTCTTGCCACAGTGTAACAGCTACAGGTGTAACAGTGTGTAAAAAGAGAATTTGGAAAGTGAACAGCAGCTATCCAGTGTGATTATTTTCACTTCCTGACTGATTTAGTGCAGACTCTGACAGCTTAGAGTAATACAGAAAAGTATTGCTTAAACTACTGCATTTAAATTATAGGGTTTTTTCTGACAGCTTATTCAAATTTAAAAAAAAAATGCAGCAAAGTGTGCTGGTGATTTAACTTAACCAGCTTAATTAAAAGAAATTGTGTAGATGTATTTGATACCTAGGTATCCCAACTAGTCAAAACCAGAGGCCTTCTCTAAAATAAATAAACTCTTTCCAAAGGTCACAGCTTCTTTTCTGACTTGTGAGTAACAGCTGCTTCTTGATGGTTTAATTGAAGTAACTGGTTGTTGAATTGCCATGAGTAAGCCAAACCATTGCTTTTGGAAGATACTGATTGCCAGTTTAAGTTCTGCCACATGAAGGATTTCAAATCAGTGTCAATAACCTAACTGGTTTAACCAACACATCCTCCTCTGTTCAAACCACCATTCATTGACACATCTGCTATGCCCAGCTCCACCACGTTGGACCACAATCCTACAGGCTTGCATTACTGGGAAGATGCCCAAGAACATGACAAGTTGTAACCCACATTTTCTTGCATGGCTAGAAAGATACATACACTCCCATCTCATGTATTTGCTTCTTCCACACCCTGCCCACTTTCTGGCAGGAGACTGTCCCTTTTTCACAGCCACCCTACAAGACTGACAAGTTCTGCTGTCAACAAGAAAAGGGGATGAACTGTTGCAGCAGAAAGACCCATCAGGGACATAAGAATGGACAGAACACAAGAAGAGTAAGTAGGACTAGGCTAGACGTTGTGAATGGAGTTGGGGCTGTTCAGCCTGGAGAAGAGAAGGCTCCAGGGAGACCTTAGAGCACCTTCCAGGGCCTGAAGGGGCTCCAGGAAAGCTGGGGAGGGGCTTGGGACAAGGGCAGGGAGGGAGAGGACAAGGGGGA